CCTCAAGCCTTTCTTCTCTTTTGTTATTCTAATTTTCTATCAATTTTAAAGAGTTGTTTTCAATAAAGTCTAATCCAAATTCAAGATTTCAACTCATAAATCAAGAATTCATCAAACTTGATCAATTTAATAGAACTAGTTTCACTCGCTGGAAAGATAAAATGGTGTTTTTGCTCACAAGCTTGAAGGTTTATTATGTTCTAGATTTGACTCTTATTCACTTCCAGAATCGATTAATGAAGACTCTAATGCACAAAAAGCAAAGAGAAAAAATTGCGAAGAAAATGAATTGATTTGCCGTGGACACATCCTAAATACTTTGACAGACCATCTATATGATATCTACTCAATATGAAAACTCTAAAGGAAATTTAGGTAACCTTGGAGACTACCTATAAAAACGAAAAACGTGGTACTAAAAACTTTTTATCCTTAAAATATTTTGAGTTCAAGATAAGTGACAATCTACCTTATCATGGATCAAGTACATGAATTACAAGTTTTAGTTTAAGGTTCCTAATGCACTATAAATAAGTGCAATTCTTCCTAAACTACCTCAATCCTAGAATAATTGCAGGAAAAAGGTTTTGCATTATATAGAGTCCCTATCAGTAGAACAATTCATGACTCAAATACAAATTAAATGTGAAACACATGCTCGTGATGCACTATTTTAGCCCTTTAATTCAAATGTGAATCTTGTGAGTCAAAATTTCAATAATTTTGGAAAGAATTCTACAAAATCCAAGTTATCTGCATTGAAAGTTTCAAGATAGGCTTTTAAGAAAAAAGATTAGAAAAATATAAATTGTTTCCATTGTGAAAAAAAGGGCTATATGACTAGTGAGTGCAAATCAAGGAAAACAGGAAGAATTTTGGTTCTAAAAATCCTGAAAAATCAAACATAGTAGAAAAGGCTCTCAAAGAATTGGTTACCATGGTTTCGATGATGAATATTGGAATGGTAACAGAATTGAATATGGCTATTGATTTCAATAAAGTAAAGATTGGTGGTTGGATTCTGGTGTTACAATTCATGTATGCAATGATAAAAACTTGTTCAACACTTACATGGAAGTTAATAAACCAGAAGATATTTTGATGGGAAATCATGTCACAGCCAAAGTTAAAGGAAAATGAATTGTTGAGTTGAATTTCACTTTTCCACAAAAGCTAACATTACTCAATGTATTCCATGTTCCTGAAATTCAAAAGAAATTAGTTTCTACTAGTTTGCTTGTAAAGAAAGGATTTAAAGTTGTAATAAAATCTGACAATGTAATAGTATTCAATGGTGACCTATTTGTAGGAAAAGCTTTTGTAATGGCATGTACAAGTTCAGTACAAGGAAAAATGATAAAAAAACCTTTCGTTGTGTAGAAAAAACTCACAATTATTAGATATTATGCATTCTGATATATTTAAATTAAATAGAAAATTAACTAAAGGAGGAAAGTGATATTTTATAACTTTCATACATGATTATTTTAGATTCACTTATGTTTATTTAGTTAAAACAAAAGATGAAATTTTTCAAAAATTTAAAGAATATAAATCTGTAATGGAAAATTAAAAAGGTAACAAAATCAAAATTCTAAAAAGTGATAGAGGAGAAGAATATTTTCTTATAGAATTTGATAATTTCTATGAAGAAAATGATTTGACACATAAAAAAAAAAGTGCTTCTTATTCATCCCAACAAAATGGATTAGCTAAAAGAAAAAATAGAACTTTGGTTGATATGACAAATGCTATTTTATTGAATGCACATCTATTGCATGATTTATGAGATGAAGCTTTATTAACTACATGTCATATATTGAATAGAGTTCCTTCTAAGAATGTTAAGATTTCATCTTATGAACTTTGGAATTGAAGAAAGCCAAACTTGGAATATCTTAAAGTGTGGGGTTGCTTGGCATTTTATAAAGTTCCTGAACTACAAAGAACAAAGCTTGGACCTATAGGAATGAAAGGTATTTTTGTTGGCTATGCCCAACATTCTATAGAATATAGAATTTTCAAATTAAAATCAAATGTTATTATATAGTCTATGCAAATTGAGTTTATTAAAAAAATTTTGTATAAATCTAATAATAAATTTGTTGTGAACAAAATGTCTTAGTTCCAAGTTGTGACCAAAGTGATATAACTTCTCGTGATACATCTAGTAAAAGAAAAATGGATGATATTCAAATTGAGCTTAGAAGAAGTCAAAGAATCATAAGAAGAAAGCACTTAAATCCAGATTTCGTTGACTCACAAGCATTAGCATTGCTTGTGGAAAGAAGTAGAAACAAAGTGTATAAAAAGATACCTAATTTGTTAAACGTTGAAAATGATCCAAAAATATTCAAATAAGCTATGTCTTCAAGGATGTAGCTTTTTGTAAAAGAAGCAATAAATGATGAAATGGATTTAATCTTGTTAAACAGAATATGGGTTGTGGTTGATCTTCCTCATGAATCAAAACCCATATAAATGGGTATTTAGAAGGAAATATAACATAGATGGTTCAATGCAAGTGTTTAAGGCTAAACTAGTTATCAAAGGTTTCATGCCAAAAGAAGGCATTGATTATTTTGATACTTATACTCTGATAGTAAGAATAACACCCATAAGAACACTTTTTGCTTTTGCATTGATTCATAAATTACATGTACATCAAATGGATGTACTTAAATGGAGATCTTAATGAAGAAATATATATAGAGCAACTTTAAGCTTTTATACTTCCTAGAAATGAGAGGAAGGTTTGTAAACTAATCAAATCTCTTTATGGATTGAAACAAACTCCAAAGCAATGGCATGAAGAGTTTGATAGTATTATACTTTCAAACGGGTTTGTACATGATAATGTAGATGAGTGCATTTACTTTAAATTTACAAAAGACTATGGTGTAATCATTTATCTTTATGTAAATGATTTGTTGATCTTTAGTTCAAATATGCTTGGAATGGTTGAAACTAAGAAATATTTGACGATAGTTTTGAAAATGAAAGATCTCAATGAAGTTGACACAATCTTGGGAATTAAAATAAAAAAAGATCAAAATGTGATTTCATTGAATCAATCACATTACATGGAGAAAATTCTTTACAAATATAGTCATTTGGAAATCAAAGAGTTTAATAGTCTTTATGATTTGAGTATAAAATTGACTAAGAATTATGAGAGAGCTACGACACAATTAAAATATGCAAGTGTCATAAGTAGCATAATGCATGTTACACATTGTACCAAATTAGATATAGCTTTTGTTGTTTGCAAACTTTCTAAGTTTACAATTAAACATGGCAAATATCATTGAAAGGCTATTATTAGAGTACTTGGATATTTTATATATATTTTTTAATATCATAAATCTTTTTGCACTTAAACATTTGGTTTAATAATAAGTATATTTATTATCCAGGTAAAGATTTGTATTTTTCAAATTTGTTTTAATTTAATCCTTAAACACTTCAATTTTATTCAATTTAGTCCTTGTACTATAGATTTTTATTCAATTTAATTTCTACGACATGGCAAAAAATTTTTTTAAAAAAAATTTTTCTTGATCTGCCACGTGGCACTGACACATTAGCATGTCAATGCCATATCCAAATCAAGGGATTAAATTTCTTCAATTTGGAGTACTGAGATTAAATTGAAAAAATATATAAAAACAGGGACTTGATGGGTATTTTGATCAAATTGTATTTGATGCATTGTATTATATAGTATTTATACACTATCAATGACCTAAATGTTACCATCTTATTAATAAATAAATTTAAAGTTAAGTTGAAAATAAACACTCAAAATTTTAAAAATATTTATTTAAAAAGATTTTTGAATTTTTATCTTTGTATATATATTTATAAAATAACATTTTATGATTAAATGATAGAGTATAAATACTATATAACATCAAATATAAACCCTTATTTTCATTGAATGTCTAAGAAATTATATTTTAAGATCATCCTAATATGATTTAAACTCATGCAACATATATTTGAATTATCTTATATTTGTGTACTTTTAAACTTTATTTTTCTCAAAAATGACCAATACATAATATCAAAATTAATTAAAAAAATATAAAAAAGGGTTTTAAATTGTTCAAAAAATTTTAAATAAGCATTTATACTTTTATTACATTCAATCAAGCCTTTTACACTATTATTTTAAACTAAATTAAGCATGTATACATTTATTTTGAGTTAAATAAGCTCTTATGACTAATGACTGACTTAGTTAAAATGTTATTTGTTATTTTATATTGTATGGTGCTAACATTATATTCCAACATATCATAATTAATGATGATATGATATATTGATATATCATAATAGATGATAAAGTAATATACTAATCTAACATTATAACATGATCATACGATATTTTTTTCTTCTATATAAGTGTCATGTGAATATAAAATAACAAATGATGTTTTGATTAATTGTAATTAGTCAATTAATAATTAAAGTTTATTTAATCTAGAATAAAAATATAAAAAGTTTAATAAAATAATCAAAATTTATTTAAATTTTCTTAAACAGTGTAGAATTTTTTGAATATTATACCAAAAAAATAATATCATAATTTCACTAAATATCTTCAAACATTACATCACAATTATTTATTAAATCAGATTCATGCATTGGTTTGACAATCAATCAACATTCATATTGATTATAAATTGATCAAATGTAATTTTGTCATGTACTAAAACATTTTTTTCAAATAAGAAAGCACATGAATGAAAAAAAAGTCAATATCCAAGAAACAATCAAAGAAAAACCAATAACAAAAGTCAAAGGCCAGCATCCCAATTCCCATTTAAGAAATCACAAAAGGGGAAGAAAAGGCCAATCATGGAATAACATAAAAGCAAAGGGATCAAAATTGCAAACTCCCTAAATAGTCCAAGCAACGTTAGGAGGGTTGTTGGTGACACAGCCCTCTCACCCACGGTTCTCAGTCTTACCAACCCCACAGCCAATCAGAATAATTTTCCATTGACCTTACCAACCAAACCCTCTCTGTGCTTCCCTTATATTTATAATTATATTATTCAAAACCAACAACAGAGCCTGTGGCAACCACAAGGGAGCAACAATCAACTTGACTTCATTTTGATCAGCAAATCTCTGCTCTTCTTCCTCAAACAACCAAAAAAGAAGGGAAGAAAATATGGGTGGAGGCAGAAAGGTCTATACTTTGGCTGAGGTTTCTCAACACAACAATCCCAAGGACTGTTGGCTCGTCATTGAGGGCAAGGTACTCTCCTTTTTTTTTTTTTGGTACAATTTCTTACGTGATCTACTTTGGTCTTTACCCAATCCGGGGTTGTGTTCTTTTTGGCTTAAAAATGGTTTATTTTGTTTATAATTTGCAAAAGTTGGGATTTTAATTTCATTCTGATTTGCAAGTTTTGAGCGTTGTTGGATCTGGGGAAGCCTTTTTCTTTTAATTTGATTAGAAGGTGACATCTTCTTGTTTGTTTAATTTTTGTTAATTCGGTTCTGATCATAAGAAAATTTTGAATCTAAATGGATGGATCTCTCATTGAGGCAGATAGCTGGTGCACTTTATGTTTGACTTATCTCTAGAAGCTTAGGATACTCCGCAGTTCATATTTCCTATATGAAAGATAAATGAAACTGGAAAAAATTTTCAATTCTCTTCTTATGGGTGGATTGATAAGTCAGATTCAAAAATAATCATATTCAGTATCAAAAGCAATCTTTTGCTTAAATCTCATAATTTCTTTTGATCCTGATGGTTGCTAGAGCTGCATGCAAGAACAGGCCCTCTGCTACAGAGTTCCTTGGATTTGCTTAATTATTAACTTATTTGGTTGGTAATTACAACAATTGATACGCTGCCTTTGAATTAAGTTTCCCCCCTTAAATGCACTATATTTGATGAATTCTGCATGTTGGAATTTGTACAATGTATTCTCTTGGTAGTTTGTAATTATTTTCATTAAAAGAGATCAGCCATTTGTGTGTATCTTCCTTAAATTACAGTGAACATGTTGGTTTCTAGTACCATACTGCCTATGTCTTGGTATGTAAAGAATGTTTTCGCTGTGTTGATATACTTAGTGTTCCATTTCCTTGAAAAGTTTGAAAATGTCGATGGTGATTTAGGTGGCTGTATTCTTTTATTGATGATTAAGTTGCTTGGAAAATGAACTAGTATTGTTGTAATGATATTCAGTGGTTGGAGTAACATATTCACTGCTTTAGTAGATAGCTTTTGAACGAGAATGACTTGAATTTTTGTATTTATTTCTCCACAGTTAGTGCTAACATTAAATATAACTCTGCTTTAATCTTTTTGGAGGTTCAGAAGTCAGCAACATTATCAGTTATTTAATAAAAGTCTCTAGAATCTGTCGTGAATAGGATTTTCTTTTCATTAATTTAAGGGGCTGTTAGCAACAATAATGATAAGTTGTACCGAAAAATTTATGTGGGATCAAAGCCTGTTTGATGGTACTTGTAGCAGGGTTCAGCTTTAGATATCGTCTACGATTAATTTGATTGCTTATTTTACTCCAGAGGTAACGTAGTTTTGATTTGGCATCATGCTTTGGTTCCATTTTTCTCTTTTTGAATTCCATATCTTCTGTGTGAGCAGGTATACAATGTGACTAAATTCTTGGAGGACCATCCTGGTGGTGATGAGGTTTTGTTGTCTGCCACGGGTATGAGAAATACCATAATTTTTTACCTATTTTGTATAATCTATGTGGAAATTATTGTAAGAAGGTGGAGAAATGGGAATAACCTTGGTTTGATGTATGGCTGGCAGGGAAGGATGCCACTGATGATTTTGAGGATGTTGGCCATAGTAGCAGTGCCAGAGCAATGATGGACGAGTTTTATGTGGGTGATATTGATACGTCAACCATCCCCACTAAGACAAAGTACACTCCGCCCAAGCAGCCTCACTATGACCAGGACAAGACCTCAGAATTTGTTATAAAGCTTCTCCAATTCCTTGTTCCCCTGCTAATCTTGGGATTGGCTGTGGGCATCCGCTTCTATACCAAATCACCAGCTTGAGCATCGACACTGTAAGAGAGTCGGAAAAATCTTCAGAATAAGAATAAGTTAGTTTAAAATTGTTTGGAGCTGTCACGTATTGTGGGATGGTGGGATATTTGCTTCTGATGAATATGTGCTTGTTTTGTCCTTGGACCAGTTCCCAGTGCCCCCCTTTTTCTCCGTAGGATCTAAGATTGTTTCGTTGTTTCCTTGAAATGCTGTTGGAAAAACCACCTTTTCTTCCTCATGTGGTAATCTCAAAACTTGTCTCACTGAAAGCGGCCATTGTCCGTCCAATGATTTGTTTGTGAGCTAAATTCAGGTTAAATGCGAGTTGTGGGCAGAAAGCCCATGTGCTCGTAATGGACGCCTACAGATAGTAAGTACTAGTTCCCTTCAACAGTATCAAATTATAACGGTAGCTTATAAATTCATTAAAAGTAGAGATGAGAACAGATTACTTCATTCTTCTTTTATATTATGCATACATGAAACTGCCAAGATGAAGAAATAAACCCACGAAAATGGAAAACCATAAAAACATAATGCACGTGGGCGTAATTAATTATCTTAGATCTTGATGTTTTCTATTCCTTTGCATTTTTCTTAAAAAGGGATTGAGATTTTAGATAGATATCAAGTTTGTCACAATCCAATATCGAGTTATGACCGGCGCATAGGTTTACTCGTATCTGCCATCCATGGCATATAGGTCCCAACCATTTATATATATAAAACACCATAGCAAATATAATCAAATGGGGCCAAGTGACCTCCAGTACACTCTGACAACACAGCTCATTATGTGTCTATACACTTTAAAATTCATCTTGATATTAAAATGGGTGGTGCAAAGATAACTATTTACTTTCTTGCTAAAAATTGTAAATAGTGTTTTAATCTGGCAGCTAGTAAGTAGAAAATTTTAAAAAATTTATAAGTATAGGTGTTACACATTCTATCATGTTAGCTTTTTGATGTATTTTAAAAAAATAAAAATATAAGGAGAATATAATTGTTTTTCTAATTTCTAGTTTGAAGCAAATTTAATTTAAAAATGCTAAAAATTGTTTTTAATATACCTTTCTAAAATTTAATCTCACAATAATTTAATCCAGTTGCTTTTGTGCTGCACGATGATGGCTGACCTTTTTCTCAAGTTCTGTACCATTTAATTGATTCATAAGAATCTAAGCAAAGATTTCTTGTGGGTGGCATTGCCAATGGTTTCTCCTCTGTCTATGATCAGCTTTGGTACAGCGCCTATTTAACAACAATGTCCTTGAATTTGACGGGATAATGTTTGAACAGGGTCCAGGTAAGTCTTTCCCCGGTGTGAAACCAAACAATGTAGTGGTAGCCGTTATGTCGTTAACCAGTTTTCCTCGAAATACATACATGATTAAACTGACGAAGCAGGCTCCATAGCCATTTCTGGATACCATACCAACACTGAATGGGACAAAGGATTCCCCTAGATGACTACGAATCTGTATCTGTTTATCTCAAGCAGAATGTATAAACGGACAAACTCTTAAAACTAGAATACTCATTTCTCCAAAGATCCTTCATTGATTTCATCTCCCCTGCCAAGAGATTTAAGAGTATAAGAACGAACAATGGGATGCAGTGTATTCCCTCTTCCTTGACCCTTTTTCTTTTTGCTGATGAAGATCAAAAGATGGGAGGCACAGAAGGAGAGAAAGGTGTGCTGAAATTGGTGCATCCGGGCAGGCATGTGGAGGTTCGCAAGGAGCCCATTACTGCTGCAGAAGTCTTGGAGAAGAACCCCAGGCACAGCGTTACTCGGCCGGATGTGTTTGAGTATCCATGGATTGTGGTTAGACCTGAGTCTGTATTAAATCTAGGGAGAGTTTTTTACATTGTTCCTAATCGTAAAATCTATAAACTGATAAAAGCCAAGGGATACAGCATCCAACCTTCCACACAGCAAAAGCAGTCTCCCAAAAGTAAGGCGCATAGGCAACTTCTAGAACAAACGTCACCGAGAAAATCATCTCCTGTTACAACACCCAAGCACCAAAACCACTGCCAATCCCACTGGCAACAATTTCAGGCCACTTGCTGGGAAGAGGCAAGTCCTCAGGAGCAAGCATGTGGTGAGAGATTCAACAGCCCATCACAATTTGAATCCCTTGCTGAGATGATAACCAAGCACCAGAGCACTTACAGAGAGTTTAAAGAGATGTCAGTGACAGATTATACATCTGACTTTGAATCTCTGGACAATAAAGAGTACCATTTTAGTGAGGTTAGCAGCAGTACAGCAGCAGCCTTAAAACAGGATGATGCTCTAGGGACTGAATGTAAAGAACAGGTTACCATTTTGAAACCTTGCTTAAGGAAACATAACAGTGGCCGTAAGCAGCTTCATCTGAAAGTATCTTTTTTCTTGCCTACCAAATGTGAGGAACGGAAAAGAAAAGTGACAGAGTCAACAGAATCTCCAGGCTTTTTTACTTGTTGAATTCTGCAAATCAATGGATCTCTCCCTCTCTTCTCTTTCTCTCTCTCTCTCTCTCTATCAAAAAAAAAAAAAAACAAACAGACAAACAAGCCAAAATCTTCAAACATTGTTCAATGAAGATTGATTTGTCCCTAATAATTGTCTCTGTCCCATGTATTTGTTCAATATGTCCTTTACAATTTTAGCTCTATGCTCAATTTTTAGCCTGAATCTGCATGCAATGATGCCATGTGCCCTTGTATGGATGTTCTCCTTATGATTTCTTCCTTCAAAGCTTGTGAACATTGGATTCTGAAAATCTCCTATGCTCTACTGTGTGTCTTAATTGTACTCAAAATCATTACAAACACTGTAATGTCTACATTCCTAACAACAAAGAGGAACATGGTCAATAGTGAAATAAAGCTCACTGATGAATGTTGGCAAATCATTGGCCTAGAGAAAACTGGTACCTTTAACATATGCAGGTTGAGCCCTCTGCTAGAAAATTTCTGAATTAAAGCAAAAAACCACACAAATTTAAGATATAAAATCAAATTTGCTGCAAGTGTGGGAGTGATCATTTGAACAAATGGAGAGCCTTGACTACTACTTGTGGACTTGGCAATTCTTGCAATTCAGAAGCCAGAAAGGAACTTAGGAGATTCATTAGACAAAAAAAAACAAAGCTGCTGATAAATACTAGAGCTGCCAGTAGAATAACTAAAAAATATTGACAAACTAAATCAAGAAAAGGAGAAAAAACATGGGGTGGGGGAAGTAAAGTCCATCCAAATTTATATTTCAATGGTAAATAGATTATTTAGGAGCCACAAATGTCATTCAAATACTATTCACAAAATTTACTTCAGGGTACTGCAGAGAAAGCCAAATTGCCGTCCAGGTCATGAAGGCCCATAATATGGGTTTCCACTTGAAGAACTGCATGCACTTCTTGTTTGTTATAAAATGAAGTCATGCAATAAGAACACCTGTAAATGGACATTTCTGTGAACAATAAATTCTTCAGGTAAATTTCAAACTATATCAGAGCTGTTTTCTACAGAGACCATAACTTGCAATAAGAGAAGAGCCCCCACTCTTGACTCTTGCTAACTCAAAGCATCACAACTCATATACAGCGTGGTCGAAAGAAAAGGTTAAAAAACATTAACATAAAAGGTCACCAAAACCATGGCCTATCTCAACAAATACAGGGAAAAGAATCCATGTAATTTTAATTACCTAATCAGTGCTTGCACATGTCCTCTCAATCACCTTAGAATCTGTTCTGTAGGACTGCCTCGATGGAGAACTTGATCCTCTAGAGGAACTATGTCCAAAGAAGCTTAGTTTACCAATTTTCTTTGAGAAAGAACTCATAAATTTACGAGAATGAGACTTTGCCATATCCCTCTTCATACAAACATGTTCTTTCTCTAGGTCATTTAATCTCATCCGCAGCCGAGCAAGCTCAAGTTTTAGCTCTCGATTTTCTCGCCTCAAAGATGCATAGTTGTCTCTTGGAGACATTGCTGCACTGAGTGCACCACTGCTGATCCGCCATGACTGGTGATGCACTGGCTTGTGGTCATCGTCAGCATAAGAGCAGCACAAAGCATTTCGTAGCCTTAATTGCTCAAAATAAAGAACTTGGACTATTGATTGGAGGGGAAGGCGTTCATTTTGTGCAGCATGTGCACCAGCTTCCTGTGAGAGCTTTTGGAAATCAATCAGTTTGCAGAGCTTCTTCCTGTCTGCATCTGGTAAACCCTGATGAGCCTGAACATGCATTCATTTAAAAGTTAGAGAGTTGTAGAGATTGATTATTACCATAGATAAATGACTTATAGTTATATCTTAAATGAAGTTTCATGCCCTAATCCAGGACAGAAGAATTATCTAAATTTGGTTTATCCTGGAACAGATTCTACCCTTTTGGGGAACCAATGATAAAGATGGTTTTTTATCAAGATTAAACCAACAAGATATGTGTGTGATATGCAGAAATTTATTTATTTTTAATATGGCATAAACTAACCTGAGGAACTCATTACATGTTAGTTTGATGCAAATGGCAAACAGGCTACAGATCTAAAAAAATGAAGATATCAGCATACATACTTTCAGGTAAATATCAGTGGCTCGATATAGCCCATCATGGATAGTACGAGCATGTGTAGGTAAAGTCTCTGCAATTGCCATAAACTTTGCAAGCTTGAGGTTTGCATCAGGAGCAATTTCGGCAAGATAATTGTCCACTAATTTTGCTACTTTAAACAATGAACTTTGGGATGGTGAATGAAGACTATCAGATTCAAAAACAGACGCATCATCCATATCATCTTCACTATCATCTTGCTGTGAAAAGTTTACCAATATCCTCTGAACTGTATCAACATCAAATAGAGTGTCACCTGCATGCCGAAAAGATGGGATCAAAAGGTCATCAAGAGTTGCAATATCCAACTGGGACCCAATCCTCCTCTCTAGATCAAGCCTGCAAGCTATAGTGCAATCAAGCATCACTGCACTTCTAAGAAGTCCAAAGAGGAAACTGATAGGAACAGCAAGTTTCTCAACAGGTAAAAGGCTGACAACTGTCTCAACCACAAGTCGTTCATGCCCAGTAGAAACCAAATCAACTTTTGTCTGGCCAGATGGATTCCACAAACTGGATTTCTTTGTGAGCTCCTTCTGGGCATAATTTACAAGGGATGCGCCAATACTCTCAGGACGGACACCACGACATTTCATAGCTGTCATGACTCTTTGATACAAATCAATTCGAATAACAGAAAGATCTTCTATCCACCAGTCTCCCTCACATTTGGCTTGCCTGTTCATATGAAGTCTACCTGAACTGCTGTATTCTAAGCGGGAGAAGCTTGAAGCAATTTGCTCTGCACAAGCCTTTGAGGCTATTGCATCTATGCAACGGCTAACTATTTTCAGCTCATCTGCAAGAGGAAGTAGGTTTTCACATTGTTGCAAAACTTCAACACACATCTCGAGGTTCTTGCAAACGATACTTTCAAGGTACTCTTCAGCGCGTGAACCAAGATTATCTTTTGAAAACTCCTCAGTCATTTCAAGGTAATCAGAAACACAACAGAGCTGAGCCACGTTTAAGGATGTAATTTCAAAGTTAATGCCATAACAGAATTTTGCTGCCAACTCAAATGACTCAGCACCTCCAGGTAGATTAAGAAGCTCCACCCTTGAGATGTCAGAATCCCTATTTTCTGCAACTAGCTTTCGGATTCGCCCACTTCGAGAGACAAGAGGAAACTGCATATAACAAATATAGTCATCAGCATGAGGATATCCTAACATTAATCTGCACTTGGAAAAACATTCTTTTTTACTTCAATGACAACTATAACCTAATGTTGTTATATTGAAAGACATAACACGCAAAGGGATCACCCTGAAAATAGCGCTCTAAATTTTTCTGAGTCTGTTTGTACTTGTGAGTGTGGTCAAATTGGAAGCCAGTCATTCATCTTGCATAGCATTGCCTTGTGTTCTTTGCATTAATCAGCCAGCAATGCCACATAAAGCAGTTAACTAGAATGACCACAAAAGGAAAAAATTCAAGATGCCAAATCTCTATACCAACTAGAATTTTCCTTAAGCACAATTTGATCCCTAACAAAACTGTATCAGGTTGCAATCAATGCTGTGATATTCTTTCCTTCTCCTGTCACTTTCACTGTTAAACATATCAAATAAACATTTACGCATAAGCTGTGTGTTGCTTTGATCTTCCTAACATTTCTTTTTCCTGAAGATCCAGGTTAACTTGAGATCCACATGTCATACACCTTTTATCCTAACCTTGACTCAATCTTATCTCAAGGCGGCCAGTGGAACTCCAGGAATTCAAAGCAAAAAGGGCGAGCATATAAGACAAAATGATGCAGGATGACAGGATCTCCTAGGTTGTGCTTTTTGATTAGTAATCAAGTCATGGCACAATAAGTGGACAAAAGAGCATCACCCAAAAACAGAAAAAGTTAAGAAAATGAAAATAGACAACAATCCATAAAATGTCTATATTACACAACTAAGTAGTCCAAAACCGGGAAAAAAGGAAGGAGACAGAGAGGATACGGCTCATGCATAAATGTGTACTGAAAGGAAGTTATATGATTCTCTCCAAAGTCTGCTAAAATTCCCCTTTATTTCTCTATAGTCCGTACTAATTTCCCAATTTTCCCAACCAAGCCATGATGCTTACTTGAGTATGCAGAAAACAAGTCCAATTTCTGCTATTTGCACTACTTTCATTGGGGCGACCAAGGAACAAAGTTTCAGATCTATACAAGCCCAAGTCAATTTGAAGCCATTTCTCTTTTTCCTAATTCTCTAGTTATACGGTGGGAATAATTGGAGTGCTTAGACAATTACTAAAAACATGCAACAAAACCAAAGTACATGAACAAATTTCAGAAGTAAAGAACGCAACAAATTACCTTGTGTAGAGCAAATGTCCCTCCATTCACTTCTATAGTGATATCACTTGGAACATCCCGAAATATCCTACAATAACAGAACTTGTACTTATTACTAAGAGAAGGACCACTTTTGAATATGGGGAGAAAAACTAAAGGACAAAAAACCCAGAGAGAGAGAGAGAGACTCTAGGAATGTTCACGTGTAGCTTTGCCCATCTCCATAAAAGGAAAAAGCTGAACATCCAGGTCATGGTGACTTAGCGACTCAAACATAAAAGAGCGACCATCATACCCCAAAGAAAAGGATGAACATATATGGCTGGAAGATAAAAGTATATGGTACATCTTGAAATAAAGAAGATCAAGGCAAAAATTTTGAGTGTGCGAGTAACGCTTCAACCAAATGGGTGATTTGGGATTCAATTTTTGAGCAAATATCACTTGTAAATCAAAACAACAATGTAGAGTAATTAGCAACTCAACTGTTCAGCGCATGAATTGGAAAATAAATGAAATAGAAAAAATCATGGACATCAAAGATCAAGAAAGCTCATTCCTTGAAGCAAAGAAAAAACTTAAACCTGAAGCAAATTACAACATCAAAATATTTGTAGCACATGAGAATTGAAACAAAAAGAAAAACATTCTTTGCATCACTACAGCAAGAATAACAGAGTGGCAAAGTGAGGAAAAGGAGAGTTGCCCCGTTTAACAAGGTAGCGATGTGTGTAAAAGATCAAAGCTCGGAAAAACACATTAAACCAAAACCATTAAGTACCCAATAACAGTTAGAAGAACAATGCGAGAATTAAACTTGTACCATTCATTGTAACGCTGCCTGGAACTCTTTGCCAAAGACAGCTGTTGCTGCTGGTGGTGGTGCTGCTGCTTGTCCATTGACAGAGACAGTGAGTAGACTCGGGGGAGAGAAAGATGAAGAGAAGCAAAAATGAGAGAGAAAGAGAAGGAGAGAGAAGGGCGGGGTTAAAGGAGAGAGACAAAGACAGAGTCTCAGTAGGAGATGTAGCTCGTTGCTTAACTTGCTTGGCCATTTTCGTCAAACTGCTGATCTTCAAACCATAGATTGCTATTGTCCAAGCCACTGGGCCTCTGTGGTGGGTCATCCCGTTACACCTCTCTCTCTCTCTCTCCTTTCTTTTTGTTCTACAATCTCAAAGCTACGTTATGTTACTGTTCTCTTGATGCTTGGCTTTGTTTTCGTTAAGTAGGTAAAGAAGCGCAAACAAAGGTTGTTTTGTATGCTAACTTTTCGTTTTTTGGGGGCTTAAAAAGTCAAAACATCTCATTAGAAAATGGGAGAAAAAAGCGGGAACAAAAGGCAGTTGCAATCTTTGGACATTTTTAGGGTTGCTTTTGCTCTTTCTCATCAAAAGCATCAAAAACTGTTAAAAACCCCTTTTCTTTTCTTTTCTCTGTCCATGCCCTGCCCATGCAATGTTTTCTGGTTTTAAGTCCTGTTTTGGATATTTACATTCCCACCCATTCAAGTTATGACAATTTCAATTCACATCCCCACTCCTTTATGGACCTCCTTTTTTGTCTTAGGATCATGAATTAAGATAAAAAGTTTAGTGCTAATTTGATTGGTTTAAGAGCCTTTTCCAAACCTCTTGTTCCAACCACCGAAAGGATTCCTTTCAAGAGTCAAAACTGCTATTTGATTAGGGTTAGCACTTTCTTCTCATGTTTTTAGGTTGTTAATTAGTGGTGACAGAAATAAATAAATGAAATTGATTGCTGGTCTGGGAGGTTTTGATGTATCAATCCAAATTCATAACATGTATCAATCAAAGGGGAAATGCTGTCCATATGCTTTTATGATTGCTGCCTATGACATTCTATTATCACAGTACTAGTGTTCTTCTGAATAGTCAAGATGTTGATTAAATAGCTTTGGATTGCTGCAATCTAGCAAGATATCAAAAACCTTGACTGAAGAAGAAGGGGAATTGAAAAAATAAAAATAAAAGGAGCAAATTAATATTCCAAAAAAAAAAAAACACAAACTACTTGCCCTCATTTGTTTAGTTTTCACTTTCAACAATGATCCCAAGTTGCAACTGCTTTACAGGCACTTCACCACAAAGCATTAGACTACATTATTGCAAACAATGTGTAATTGTCTATGAATCAAATTGGGGTCCAAAAAGATGTCCAAGCCTGTAGATTGAATTAAGGACTACGCACACCACAAATCCAAAGGGCATCATTGCCTTTTGCAAAGGGAAAGCATTTACAATTAATTCCCTCTGGCAATTGACTATTCATTGATCAAAAAAAGGCTTGCACGAGAGACAAAATTGATGGAGTTTGACCTGAATTTGCTTGCACAAAGTTGGGATTTTCTTTAGGTTTTTTTAAAGCCTAGGGGTTTTCTTCATCAATACATGCATATGTTAGGCCATCCCTGAGGGTGAAGGAAAGATTACATATTTTTATAATGTTTTTCATATCTGCAACTCCTGCATATACCTTTTCTCCTAGTTTTCAGTTCATTAGAGTTTCATTTATGCTTGCCCTCTTCATTACTACCATTCGAGCAGCTCCTTCCTTTCTGCTAAGCTTTGCTGACTTGAATCATCGAATCTTGTTCATTTTTTTTTTTTAGCAAAAATCTATTTCTCTGATTCTCCCTGGATATCTGGGCATCACTGTGCAGTCCTATAAAATAACATGCCTTCATCTCATAGAAATATCAAAGCCAGCTCCAGAAAAGATGGAGAACAATAAGATGGATTGCCATATGATTACTAACCTTCACTTAATTTTCTTTTATTCATTCATTCTTTTTTCTTGTCAATTGCACTCGAACCAGTTGATTACATGCATTTTTATAATTCAATGATACGTATAAAAACTACTTAGGTCCATAGATTAAAAAACGAAATTTTAAACCTTAAACTTCAGAGCAGTCGAACATATTCTTCTAATCTTTATTGGTTATTCACACTCTAGGGAGTAGGGACCCTCTTGCATTAGAGTGTAGAATACTCTGATTCCAAATATGACTTCATATTTAAGCACACTAATTACTTGCAAACTGCCGGCCACTGAGTAATCCTCTAGAGAAAGCCTAAAATCAGGCAGAAAAGTAGTAGGCTGCTGACCCCAGCCTTTGGGATTAATTACCAAAATATTCTTTCTTACCTCACCAATTTTGTCTCATATCAAATAAATAGTTTCACACGGTACGTACTCTATTGTTTTACATCCTCTTAATGTTATCATTTTTTTTTTAATTTTTGGTATTCACAATTGTGTGAAGAAAATGTCAATTTGTTCAACAAGTTCACATATCTAATGACGGTGATGGAACCTCAACACCTTTGATTGGTTGAAGGGACCACAAATTCATGTATTTTTTGGTATAGTGTGTGTATATGTAGAATGCACATTTATTGTCAGGATATGATATTCTAACGACCCTTTGGCTGACTAGGAACAATCAAAACATTCAAATAATTATTTGGGTTACGTTGCTTTCTTACAAACTAAAACATTTTATGACCCATACCTCATAATTAAGCCAGTTGGAAGGGGTGATCCAAAAATGAAAACAACTTCAGCTGTATGGGTTGTAACAGCAATACCAAGAAATGAGTGGAACTATATGTAAATGTAATGACAATTCATATTTGGAAAAGGATAACAATCCGAACAGTGTTTTAAGGATAATCTAAACAGTGCGTTGCCTCACCAAATTTCATCACTTTGATAGTGGAGTAAAGCAATGTAACGGCGAGACAAGCCCAAAACTTGGAGAGGAGGGGAGGTGGGAGGTGGAGGTGCCACTTTTTGAAAAAAAAATTCTATCCTATCTTGGTGGGTCCTTGAGAGGATCATTATTAGTGGGCTCCATTCCCATATAATTACCTTGCTTGATATCATTTGATATGATATCTTCCACTACCACCACCATACCTTTCATGCTCATGTAAATGTAGATAGGAACAAAAAAAATTTCATTCAAGTCAAATGTCTTCAAACCATGTCTGGCATGAAAACGGTCAATCCTGTCATACAGGACATATGGGCATCCATGGGCAGGCAATGGAGATTGAAGGGAGGACTTGACCTCTCTAAAAAGTATTTTGCTTTCTCTTCTTTTTTGCATAAATACTAATAATAATAACAATGTAGTATTGAAAGAGGAAATGTTGAAACTGAAATCTTCAACCAAACCGACAAACTTTTACCTGAAAGGATCTAATCTAATCAAGGAAGACTTGGGAAAAAGAAAAATGTTTTTAAGTTTGCTGTTGAAAAGAAGCATGATGAATGAACTCAACCCCAGTCCCATCATCACTATTCAGCACGCGTTTTCTTCCTTGTATACTTTTAAGTCATGGTTTCTAAGACAATATTATTATGGCATCCTATGTTCCAACAACATGTTAAAGGAAGTTTGGGGTAGGGCTTAATTTGTAGTAATCACACTCCAACACATTTATGTATCAAGTAAAAAACATTATTATTGATTTTAAGATGTTCAATTTCATTCTATGTGGGGTTCTACTTTCCAATAAAGGCCTTCACCACAGCAAGTGGGTGTGGTATCCAGTGTTCCAGCATCAATTTCATATATACAAGAATTTGCTCCTCTCTATATATGTCAAGGTGGGTTCTTTATTATAAGTATTTTTATTTTTATTTAATAATAAATTAATAAAACAAACCATTATATTAAAAATTTTAAATCCTCTCAGTATTTTTGATAAAATTAAAATTTTTTAAAATTTATCACTCACAACTTTTCTTAATCAAGCTCTTTTCTCTCTCCCTCTTACTTCCTCCGTCTTTTGTCACCGTCGTCAACCCTAAATTCATCAAGGAGTGCTGTTACAGCATGGCAAACGATTGGCTCCAATTGAGAGTTGTCTCCCCACTTTGGGAACAAGTTTAAGTTTTAATGGTATGTTATTGATTTTTCTTGTCCATTCCAGTTTATGAACAGAGCTTAATATTGGATTTCACTCCCGAGTGAAGCATGGGTAAGGCTCCAAATTGTCATTGACCCATTTTCCAAGGCAAAGGTAAAGCCCATCCAACTAACATTGCTGCCTGTTGGTCCAATGGTATATTAGCATTCCACCTAGTCGACTCAGATTGAAGACATAATCTCTCCTTTTTTCTCTTCTACACTCGAGCATGTTACGCTGGGCTGGGTCACCACAAGGTTAGGGTCGAGAGATTCAAAATTGTTGATGTAAATGCCCGAGGAGCATTTGGATCTTGGCCAACTTGATGCTTTTTTGTTTTCTTTCCTTTCCCGGTTTTTTGATTTTTTACTGGTTTGACCACAAACATGACATAAAATTATCATACAACGTACGCCAGGAGCTATATGGCAATGAACAAATTCAAGTGACGAACATAAGCAGCTGATATTCACAAAAAAAATATACTGTTGAAAGATAGATGCTAATAGTACGTACAGAGTATGAACTTTTTTGTACAATGCTGTTGGGGGAGGAATTGGGCGACCTGGTGGCATAGGCTTTGCTCAAGTGGTAGGCAATGTGGACTTTGTAACAATAGATGCTCCACTCAGTACTCACAGGCCTCGGAGTATGGAACTGCTCTCACATCATCATATGTTCTGTTCAGTGGCCTTCTCTGTAGCTCTTCAACATTTCTTCGGGGAGAACTACCCATTTCTCCGTCTGGTGATCTGTCTTAAATGATCTAAGGTCCAAGGAGAATAACAACTTCTTGAAGAGTTCATGCGGGGCAAATCATCTGCACTGCTTGTGGAAGGAATTCGGCCCAAGATGCTTGTTTCCCTTGGTTCAGGCATTCGCTGCCATGCCTCTTTAACTGTTAAGTGGAGGCTGTCCTATTCTTGACAACTCTTCGCGGAGGTCCATGACCTTCTGGTTATCAGCACTCTGAGCCCGTCTAAACACATTTTTTTTGCCTGAGTTTATATCGAAGGTCATCTATACCAATGTGATCATCTTTATTTATTACTATATATAAAAGTAAGATTTCAATTTCACTGGTCATTTTACTTTCATTCGGCCTTAA